AGGGCCCATACTGGAACCTCAGAGCCTGCCCTTTTTCCCACGACAGTAGTCGCCCTCACTTTTCCTCCAGGACATATTGAGCCTACAGCAGATGACTAATCGCTGCTGCACCAGCCCAGCCTACCTGTGGGCAGGGGGACAGTTGATCCTTTATACATCCCTGGGGCAGACTGAGCAACTCAATGTTTGTTGAGTGAACAAATCCTGGGTGAGTGAATGAGTGGTAGGAAGAACACAGGACAGAGAGGTGTAAAACCTAAGCCCCCAATCAATTAACTTGGAGGAAAGTCACCGCGTCGCTGGGCCTCCCTGCCTCTCTGTGGACACTCTTTAAGGATCACCTCAGCCATGGTGTTCTGGGAGTCCAGGCCCACAAAGTCTGTACTCAGCTCATCTATGCCATGTGGGCAGTGGCCTGGGCACTTGGGGCCACCCCTCCAAGGCAGGGTGTTGGGACAGACCTCCGCCACTGCCTCGGGGTGTTCTCTGCCAGAGAACACAAGAGAGGGGAAGGGACAAGTGGGGCAGGGAGGTGGAGTCTGTGAAGCTGCTTTTCCAGAAGCCATAGGGTGAGGCCAAACAGGCAGGGCTGGGCCTGAGGTCACGGCTGGCTTCATATGGGCCTGGGACTGCTGCCATCGGCCAGGAGCTGACTGGGCCCCACCCTCTACACGTCCCCCCGTCCCCCGCAGCGTGCTGGCTCTGGGGAAATGACAGACCCAGTGCCCCAGGGTGCTGCCCAGGGGTTGGTATGTGCCTCAAACATGCTCAGGAGAGAAGGGTGTGTGGCCCTTGGAGCCCAATGGAAACAACAGAGAACATGCAAGTGAGCATCTGAGCACCTCTGCGGGGCTGGCCCACCGCACCCCGCTCCTCGGCCACGGCCACTCCCTGCACGGCTACTGCAGAGCAGCCCTTGCTCAACGCCTGGGGCAGAGTCCAGCCCTGGCCCTGCCAGCTGGGGCCCTTCATGTGAAACTGGGCCTCAGCCCTTCCCTGTCCCCACACCTGGATGACACCCAGAATTAAAGATCACTGGTCACCTCACCCACCTCCCAGAGCGGTGCAGACCAGGTTCTCAGCTCAGTCAAGCAGCCCTTTAAAACCCATCACAGCTTAGTATAAGGAAAAGTCACCCAACGATGACTCTTGGGCAGCGAGGCTGGGGGTGGGGCGCCCTTCCAAGGCTATTTATATATATTTTCTTCCTTATACTTGGCTCTATATTTAGTTCCTAACAATAAACCTCTGTTTCCTTCATAATTAAAAAAAACACCCAATGCAATTGTTATTTTCTTTTTAATTCTTGTAATCAAGCAGAAAGAGCATGAACTTGGTAAGCAGGCAGACCAGGTTGGCAATGTTAATTTAACTCCATCGTCTCAAAGACAGTATCTGATACACAGTGCGTGGTCAGGGAGCGTGCCCCTCTCTCCCCTCTTGAGGCTTAGTTTTCGCATCTGTAGGATGAGGTGGATTGATCCCACCTCCCTTGTGCTGGTCGTGCCACCGGGGCCAGGGCACGCCTAAAGAGATCCTGCTGAGAAGCACTCAAGGGAGGGCAGTTCCCCGGGCTCTCATCCCTCAGGTCCTAACAAAGCTCAGTGGGTGAAC